TGTATAAGATATGTGGCAATAAACTTATTATTATTATTACTCGCCCAAATTGAAGACGTGCTCGCCGATGTCTCTGGCGGTCTTTTGGCAGGTCTGCTTGCAGTCAGATCACTTCCAGCAAGTCTTGGACGAATAGTTCTTTCACTTACGTCAACCCCACGCACCATTTGAAAACGACGCCGAGTTCCTACAGCTGTCGTTCCGACGATTTCTCAGAGTGTTTAGAACAATAAATCGGTCATCAACTGCTATTGCCATTTGTCTTTTAGCGGAACCTTGCCGCCTAGTGAAATTTCCTGTTTCTACATATTGGTTCCAGACATTCTGAAGTGCTGTGCGGGGTATACCCAACGTATGGGCAACGTACCGCTGACTTTTGCCATCCTCAATTAAAGTAACAATACGCGCAACATCAGTTACTGACAACGGCATTGCTATTATGTTAAAAGTCTGTGAAAATCTTTAACAATTGTCAATTTACTATTCGAAACAACTGACATACGCCACCTTAGATTTTTTATGCTTGTTTGTCTTGTTTTCACAGGCGTCCGGTTTAAAATATATAAGAAAGAAAAATAAAAAACTTCTTATTTGCTAGAATTTTAATTTATACGGTACTAGTTTCGAGCCATTAAGCTCATCCTCAGCCGAATCTAATTAAAAAGGAAAACAGTATAAAATCCTATTATATAACAATTGTAGGTTTTTGCATTTAATTTTTGCAAAAGATGGTATGAGTTTTTCTCTATTACAGACGTTGATAAAATTAATATGATTTTTGAATATTTCCAGTTAAATATAAATTCTTTTAAACCTTTTTGTTTTTTATTTTTCTTTCTTATATACTTTCCGAACTTGCAACATGGATCTATTTAATTCAATCCCTGATTCTACTTCATCATTGATCATTGGTTTTAAAAGAATTCTGCAAAAATCATATTAATTTTATCAACGTCTGTAATAGAGAAAAACTCATACCATCTTTTGCAAAAATTAAATACAAAAACCTTAGGACTCATACTTAAAACACTATTCATGTATTTTAAGGATTTTGCAAATGTTTAAAAAATCAATGTTCCTGTTTTAATAGTGATTTTGACAGTAAGTTTATTTGTTTATAATAACCTACAATTGTTATATAATAGGATTTTATACTGTTTTCCTTTTTAATTAGATTCGGCTGAGGATGAGCTTAATGGGTCGAAACTAGTACCGTATAAACTAAAATTCTAGCAAGTAAGAAGTTTTTTATTTTTTTTCTTATATACTTTCCAAACTGGCAACATGGATCTATTTAATTCAGTTCGCTTTAAAACACTGCATATCTGTAGTAACAGAGATAACACAAGGGAACAAAATTAAACTTTTTTTTTTGTTGCATCGACTTTTATGCCTGTTTTTTACTAATTGGAGGTCGCTGATTTCAAATCTACCCACCTTTTTTCTTTAGCAGCTCTAGTTTTTGCGATACAGCTAGTCACGTTTAAATTTCAAATCAACCGAGCTGTTGTTTAAAACAGTGTTTTGTTTAATAATGTCCGCGTCGAGAAATATCTGTCAAAACAATGCCGACAATTTTTGTAACATCTGTGGTGAATATACATTAGTATTTTGATTATTTTGGATTGCCGTTGGACACCCGTGACAAGTACTGAATCCCTCATATGGTATGTAAAATATGTGTGGAGTCTTTGAGGTTATGGGCGAATAAGAAAAGACCTCATTTTAAGTATGGCGAGAGCCTTCAAATCATCAAGATGATTGTTATTTTTGTGTGGTTAATATAAACGGAGTTAATAGAAGAAACCGGCCGAAATGGTTTTACCCTAACTTGTTATCTGTTACTCGATCAGTCCTGTACTCCGGAGATGCGCCAGTACCCCAAGTTTCTTCACCTACACAAAATGATCACGACTTTGAGGAAACAAGGTCTTCTTTAAGTGATGACAAGTGATTTTAACCCAATTTCTTCTGAGCCTCAGCCTTTTAATCAGGAAGACCTCAGTGCATTAGTCAGAGACCTTGGTCTTTCTAAAAAAGCATCGGAGATTCTAGCTTCTCGATTAAAGCAAAGAAATCTTGTAACCGAGAGACAGAATTGCTTTCATTCTTTGCTAAAGATGACGACTTTGCTTTTTATTCAGATGTTCCTGGTTTATTGAAAGCAATGGGAGTACAGAAGTATGATCCTAATGATGGCGTTTATTTATTGATTCTTCTAAACGTAGCCTAAAATGTGTATTCTTCTTGGACAACAAGGGGGCTATACAAAATATCCATGTTTTTTTTGTTTGTGGGACAGCAGAGCTAATTGCGATTGGCCTTCCAGGCAAACTATGGTTCCGGGAAAGCTGAATGTGATAAATGAACCCCTTGTGTCCAGGGATCGTATAATACTGCCACCTTTACATATCAAACTAGGGCTTATGAAACAATTTGTCAAAGCTTTAAACAAGGATGGTGAGTGTTTTAAATACATCGCTAAAAAGTTCCATAACTTGAGCACAGAGAGACTTAAAGCCGGAATTTTTGTTGGTCCTCAAATAAGAAGGTTGATAAAGGATGAAAAGTTTAATAGTTACATGACTGATATTGAAAAAAATGCCTGGAATGAATTCGTTTGGACTGCACAAAATTTTCTGGGAAACAAAAAGGACGAAAGCTATGCGGAGCATATTGAGCTGATGTTGTTACACTTCCAGCAGCTTGGATGTAATATGAGCATCAAGGTACACTTCCTCCACAGTCATTTGGACCGTTTCCCTGAAAATCTTGATGATCTGAGCGAAGAACAAGGGGAACGGTTCCATCAAGACATTCGAACTATGGAGGAACGTTACCAGGGTCACTGGAATGCTCACATGATGGCAGACTATTGTTGGAGCATTAAAAACAGCCCTCGTGAACCAAGTCAAGCAAGAAAATCTTATAAAAGAAAATTTTTTGATAAGTAGTGGTTGTTTTTCTAATGAGTTTCTTAATAAAATATAGATTTTTCTTGAAAAACGCGTTTTAATTATTATATCTCAAAAATTGAAGCTGATACGAACAATCTGCCTTCAGATCACTCAGAGAAAGTATAATATTAGTCATAATATTTCATGCAACTAAAATGCTGTTTCCTTGTGTAATAGAGTGAATAAAAAAACAAAATGCTCAGAAAAGATTAGGCTACCGTTTGAAAAAAAGTTTTTCTCATTCTTGCAACCCGTATATGTTCAAATGAAAATTTCTATCGCAGAGTTCACCAGAAAGCCAGCTTTGAAGTATTATAGCGGTCGGCTTTTTTTTGCCGGTCAGTTTATATTTTAATCAATGGACATCCACCGAAATTGTTAATCTTGGTAACTGAAAAGATGGTAAACATAGTGGATACCTGAGATTGGGTGTGCCGATATGGAGACAATTGGCAAGTGAGAGTAATTAAATAAAATCGAAAATTTTTGTTACAACTGCCCAACAACGTGCCCATTGTTTCCAATTATTGCCAAAGTTTGTAGTAGTATTTAAAAATTCACTAACAACTCTGGCATTATGTGCTGGTGCTCCGTCATATTGAAAATATATCATTTGAGACTTATTTAATGGCAAATTGTCGACCAAAGGCACAATGTGCTGCCTTGATGTATTGAGGTATTACCTCAGTTTAAGTTTTTATGGTAGATACTATATGCCAACATTCTATTATTTAAAAGGGCACACCATACATGGAACCCAACCTTCTTTGAACACTCAGAGACTTCATTGGTCCAGATGACATTTTGAACAAACAGCAGATTATTTAATTTTTCTAAATATCATCTACAAAATTCTAATCTTAGATTGACATCTCCGGCACGTAAATAATGAGTTAGCCCCGCTTTGTATGGTTTATACATATTTTTCTTTCATATTCGGGAGCAGCGGTTTTTGGGTCAGACGTCTTGTTCAATTTCTCTGCAAGATGTTGATGGATTTATCGCAAGTGAAGCCAACACATTGACTTCATCCTCTTGCAGGCCATTTTGGTATGTTTTTGCACGTGGTTTGGGGATGGACCAAAAATCTATTAAATTTTCTGCTAACCGGCTGAAGGTTCTTACGTGCGGTTGTCTTCTTTCCGAATACCTTGTGAAATATAATTCCGCGGCTAACGTCGCATTCTTATCTGATAACATATAGCATTCCATCATGTTACATTTTCATAATTTTCGAAGTTCATTGTAAAGTTTTATTTAGTTTTGTTATACTTTGACACCTAACATGCTGGTGCATCATACCAGCTCATAATGCCAGAGTTGTTATCGAATTTTTAAATACAAACTTTGGCAATTATTTGATACATTATGTTCCATCATAGTATGTATGGTTATCACCATAGCAACATTAACTTTTAAATACATACATTCGTTTTAGATAAAACAAAATGAATTTTTATTAATTATTCAATAACTATAAGAAATATACCCTACAAACTATATATATTTGTTATCAGAAGAAAATAACAAAGTATTTTAGGTCATAACCAACTATGGTTTCCATTTAAAAAAATAAAGTTACATCTAAAATCTTGAAAATAACTCTACCTACGCCACTGAATTCTTCGTAAAAAGTTGCCCATATAATGTTTTATTTATAATACTCCCTCTTTGATAATAAGTGAGATATTCGCGATTGTCGTTTTCGCAAAATTTTTAGTTTTTGCCGATAGGGCGAAACCTGTACACACATCTGCTGGCAGTTGCTGTGTTTTATTGTATGTTGTTCCTCATATATCCTTTTACGATACCTCCGATGATGGTCATTTGACCGAAACATGTCAGGTTGAACTTAAACTTAAAAATAAACCAGTTGTAACAAAAATTTTCGATTTTATTTAATTACCGCACTGGTTAAAGAAAGAATGGATCTACTTATTCAACAAGTGAGAGTAAGTTTGAAGGAGGCGAATTTCTGAATTTGGGCTGCAGTGCCTTAAGAAACAAAGAAAAATTAAAAAAAGTTGATTTAGTCCACTCTAGTTTAATTTATCCTCTTTTATTACTACAATAAAGAAAATGTAAGAAATATTAACTTATTAAGAGATATCGCGTTCGGATTAATTAAGTATAACTCGTCTTAAAAAAAAATAATAATCAGTAATAATCCACTTTTATTTTTATTTTTTGTTAATTATGCGCCATCTTGACATGTAAAATGGTAATTATCGTAATGGCCTTATCTTAATTCAAACTACTTGGTATTTTTTTGTATAAAATTATATTTTATTAAAAAAACAAATAAACGAATTGCGGTGTCGATGTCACTTTTTTTTGTTCAAGGTGCGTTGTTTTTCCGCATGAATGACTACCTGTTCGTCGATGATGAGTCCTTTTCTTCTTCTTGCTTCCTTCATAAGTTTATTAGCCCTCAAGGCGTCTGTGAATGCTTCGCCGTCGCCGTCTTCATCTTCTTCACCCTCAAAATAAGGATCACCGTCTATAATCTAGAAAAAAAAATTAAATAGTTAAAAATGTAATGGTTAAATTCTTGGTGGGTCATAAAAGTCGAAATATTTTGCGTTATCGGTATCTTGAGCTAATGGTCCCCGTCGAGTTTGCCTGCGTAACGAGCCCCGCGAATATAATGAATACCTTCCTAGCAACATCCTGTCGCGGTGTTCTTGGTGTTTTCGGTTTAGTGCCCTCGGCGTAGGATAGTTACTGCTTCCTCGAACGTTCTCTCGGTTCGATATAACAAAAAAAAACTGGCCAAATTGTCGTGCAATGTCCCTGTACCTCTGTGTAGTCCTCGGCGATATAACAGTACTAATCGCGTGAGAATGGAATAATAACATAACTTGAACCGTTTTGTACGCTTTTTATTACACAGTTTTTAGAATTACCGTAATTGCGTGTCAAAATGTACAAAAAAGTTTTTGTTGGAAGACAAAGATTACTCAATTTCAGTGTAACTTACCTCGTAATGACTAAATACAAGAGTAGGATTTGCTTGACCAGAGGTAGTTTTTCGAATTTCATTAGCAAATCCATCACTTTCAACGACGGGTATTTGAGCTTTGACTCTAAACGTTCGTTCCTCCTGGTCCATCCCAACGGCCTCCAGAATACGACCGTGACGCCTTCCGAGTACAGAGTACACCTTCCCTGCGGCAAAAAAAATAGAATAAAAAAATTATCGTTGTAAATCGCGTCATAATCGACTATAAATAACCGCCTCCGGGGCGCGTCGGTCTTTATTTACGATATCTTCACCGCCCGACCAGGATTAAATTGGTATTTGTATTGTGCTAATGGTAATTATAATAATAATTGCGTCGTCTTCTACAAGAACTCGCTACTGTATACGGTTGTACAAGTATAGCTTATACAAATCTTACCTTTTGTGGGATATTACAGTCTTAAGAAGATAAAATATGTTAATATATTCATAGGAATTTTATTTTATTTTTCTAAAGAAATTTCTTATTTTGATCATCAAATAGTTCATATAAATGTAAAACAATTCTCCTTTGTTCTTATTGGTTTCAGAATAATTAAGAGAATACAACAGGAGGAAGACGATTAAAAATAGTTTAAGTCCAATGATCCCTTATAAGATAGTTAAGATTTTTCGCTATAGATTAGAGTCACGTAATAAAACTCGGTTTCGTTTCCGTTCAACGGAAATGAGAAAAACAACTAATTGAGGTCTAACAATTAGAATTAATCCATGCTGTAACTAAATATTAGAGTGTCAATTCTTATCTTTAATCTGTATTACCCTTTAATTAATAGCTCTTGCAATATCTCAATATGGTATTGTTCTTTTTGTTTGAAACCGAAGACATTGCGGGGGATATTGAGAAGCAATTTGAAACCGGAGACAGGGATGTGGTACGTTCAAGGCAAAAATACCGATTTATTTCTCTATTACCGACCGCCGGTCGGCCTACAAATTGGTCGCTTTCTTTTGAAATTGAATTATCGTTTTTGCCGCGCACCGAAGATTGGTCCGGTTTTTGCTGCGAACGAAGAAGCCTAGGGCCTTTGACCACCTACTGTTTCCCATACATCGTTTGTTGGGCGTAATGAATATTGAATTATGAGTTTGCGGAATAATTAAACGTTGAATATTCATTATTTCTACTATAAACTTAGCTCCGCGAGATTTTCCAGTAATAATATTGATGTTATTCGAAGTAATTGCTTGTTGGGAGGCGATGATTTGAAACTCTGTATATACAGCGTGGTCCATTTAACGTGAAACAAGCGATTATTTCGAAAACGGTTCATTTTGCATTAAAATAATCCAAATGAAAGTTGTTCAAGGTCATATGAAGGTCACGACCAATTTTTTAAATGGCACTCTATGTTTTTGATTGCAAAATCTGAATCTTTGGATAAAATTAAAATAATAAACAAAAAAAAGAATTACCGTGTGGTTCTCTATCTTTTGTAGACAAAATCTAAATAATTTTTTTATTCAAATAGTTTTAAATATTGTTTATTTATAAAAAAATGATTAACTATTAATCAACAAGTATAAAATTTATAATAAATGTTTAAATATTTCCCCACCCACTTCAATACATGTATTAACTCTTCTTGAAGACGTCACCTCTGCAAACGAACTCTCTCGTCTTAAAAGGGTTCTGGCCTCAGACCCGGACCAGCGAATAGGTTTATTGCAGAAGGATGATGGTTGCTATACCGACAACCTTCTGCAAAGCTTACACCTTCTAATGAATGTGCATTTTTCAGGTTCGGTAGACTCTATAGTAGCTCATGGAGACACCAACCACACACCGACTGCAGAAGACTGGCTGTTAGCTGAGAAGATCTGCACGCAGGACAAAATGAGGTGGGCAATAAACAGCTTTTAATAATAATAATAATAATACCCAACGTTATCGGTACCCGCCCTGCTGTAGTGGGGATTGGAAGAATTGATATCTCACCTAAAAAACATCTTTCAGGGATGCCTGGCGTTTCGCTACATTCCCAGTTGTTGGCGTGAGGTTTTGGTGAACTTCATACCTAAACCGGGTAAGCAAACTACTTCTTTCCGAAGTCTTTTAGACCAATCAGCCTCTCCTCGTGTTTATGAAAAACCGTGCGATCGTTACATAAGGGATGTCTGTCTTGTCGATAGACCCTTAGATTCTAATCAACATGCGTACACCCAACGCAAGTCCACACTGACAGCTCTTCACAGTGTGACCAGTTTTGTCGAGAGGGCGTTGGACTTCATAGATATAGAGGGCGCTTTTGATAAGACGACCTTCGTTGGTATTAACGAGCCTTTGGCTGAGCATAATGTTCCTCCTACCCTCTGTGGATGGATAGAGAGCTCCCTCAGACAAAGAATCGTCAAGCTAAGGGCTGGAAACGCCACAATAGAGTAAAGAAAGTTAGTGCCGAAGGGCGATTCTGAAGATATGGGGTTTGTCACCCAAATCTGCCCTCTGGATCTACACGGCTGTGATACGACCTATGCTCACTTATGGTGGTCTAAAACCTTACAGGTTATCGCCACTACCGCACTAAATAGAATACAGAGACTTGCGTGTATGTATGTTACAGGTGCCATGAGGACGACCCCCACTGCGGCCATGGAAAACATGTTAAACTTGCCACCTCTACACTTACATATTCAGGAGTTGGCGTTGATTACCATGTTGCGACTACGGGAAGTAGGACTTTTCAAGGGAGAGGAAACCGGAGGAAGTGCAGCACTTTGGAGGGAAGAGTTGACAAACACACCTCTATTGGAATGCTGCACGGACTATATACCGGCTAAATTCACATTTTCAAGGAAATACCTCACCCATTGTGGTTCCACAGGAGTAGATGAAAATAACAGCCTTAAAATCTACACTGATGGTAGACGGACTGTAGACGTGCAGACAGACTGGTGTAGGAGCGGGAGTATTTTCTAACGACTTACAGCTCCATCTCTCAGCTCCAATTACAGAGGTAAGTGTTTTAGCTGTAAGCAAGGATAAATTTACCTCTGCGCTGATTATGGATTGTCATTTGGCGCTTGAAGAGGCTTCAACACTAAACAGTGTCACACTGCAATGGATAAAAGGACACTCGACTCACTCGCGGAATAAGCACGCCGATAGACTGGCAAAAAGGGCTGCTGGGAAAGTGCCCTGTTCCCCCCTTTGCCGACAGTTGTCCTTGAACAAGACGACGAGACGGTGTATCACATCTTGTGTGACTGTACTGACCTCAAGGACTTCAGATTAAGAGTGTTCGGGAAGAATGGCTTTTGGTAACTCCTTAGCTGGTTGATATAACCGGAGTAAGTGTTGGGAGGATGCATAAGGGGCCCGTTGGGGCCCAAGTGCTGTGTGCGTTGCATACCCTCCCCGTAATACCGGAAGTAATACAGTATTACAGTGAAAAGTCAATAGCAAATACAAAAATAAATATGTATATAGGTATTATAAGTATAGTAATAAAACAAATTAACTTTGTTACTCCACAAACTGATCCTGCATATAATCAAGCCATACATTGTAGGCTTTCTTGACCAGATTAGACTTCACACATTTTTTGAAGTGTCCTCGTTCCATAATTATTATTTCTTCTGGCAACTTGTTGAAAAATTTAACTCCCCAGAAATCAGCATATTTTTTAGTTGCTTCTATCCTATGTAACGGTAATCTCAGTTCATCTTTGCCTCTTGTGTCGTGTGTGTAAAAGTTTGCATTCCCATTAAATTTACTTCTATTGTCATAAACATACATCAAACCAAAATGTATGCACTTGGTACAGTAGGTATACATTCTGTTTTAAATACACCTTTGCAGCTGTCAGTAGTTTTAAGATTGTATAAAGTTCTTATCGCCTTCTTCTGCAAACCAAAAATTCTTCTTAAGACAAGTGAATGACCCCAAACAACTATGCCATATGTTGCAACAGCATGAAAATTTGCAAAATAGGCTATTTTGACCACTTCATGATGCAATTTTGTTGAGACGTCTAATTGTAAAAATTGCTGACGTTAATTTTTTACTTATGATATCAGTATGTGGATTTCATGTTAAATAAAGAAATAATGTTTCTCCTTCCATCTTAATAAAATCAGGCGTTCCCCAAGGTTTCATTCTAGGACCGCTGTTGTTTTCAATTTACACAACAGATATCTTAAATCTTAAACTACACTCAAGTATACAAGCATATGCCGATGACACTCAGATTTATTCTAAATTGAGATTGTCTAAATTTGATGAAGCTATGACTAAGGTTAATCGTGATTTGGAGTTGGTGGCACTGATTTCTTACCAACATTGTTTGCAAATCAATCCGGACAAGTCATCCATACTATATTTTAGTAACAAAACAGCTTCCGGAAACTCAAATATTGTTATTGCAGGTAGTTTGATCCCTGTTGTAAATGCAGCGAGGAGCCTTGGTCTGGTAATTGATTCCAAATTGAGATTTGAGGAACATATTAAAAATTTGGTGCAAAAGGCGTAGTCGGTACTTCGCGATAAACATTATCCTTAAGGACACCTAACAAAAAAAAAATCAAGAGGTGTTAAATCAAGTGATCTGGAAATTGGACCAGACTCCTTCCAATCCATCGCCCAGCATAATCCCGATCTAAAGCTTTATGTGCAATATGTGAAAAATGTGCTGGACACCCACCATTTTGCAGCCACATATTTTGAAGATGTCATCTAAAAAATTTCGGTATTTCTCCCTATTCAGCATACCATCAATAAAGATCAATTTATCACCAATTGTGCCACACCAAACGTTAACCGACCAAGATTGCTGATGATCTAGTTCACGCAACTATCTCGGATTTTCAACGCTCCAATAGTGCATGCTATGTCTATTGACTTGTCCTTTGTTTGCAAAAAGTAGACTCATTCGAGAATAGCACGTTACCAAAGAAATTGACGTCCAACCGCATTCGTTCTTGTGCCCATCGACAAAATATTAATCGATTTTCAAAATGTGGTATGGGTGATAATTGTTGAGCTTTAATATTCAAGTCGTCGAGTGCTAACTTGAGGATTTACCTCAACGCTAGCTAATACCGAAATTTCCTTTTCTTCCGTAGTTACAGTTGCTCGCATTATCATGAAACTTCAACGTGGGAAGGGCAATAGACACACCTCAAAACAAACCGCCTCTATGAAATC